TCTGGGTCATTTTCATTTGTCAAAAGCTAAGAAATGCTACCTTTATTTGGTACAACCATTTTTGCTATATAGTAACTAAACAGAAATCAGCTGTAGCTTATAAAAGTTTCTAGTTCTCTCTGACTGCAACTTTCAAAGCAAGATATGGGATGCAGTTTTCCTTTTGCACTTACTGACAGTGAACTTCCATTTTTACCTTTGCATCTATTTCCTCAGCCTTTTCATTGGCTTCTTGCTCAATGAAAGCCATCATGTGCTTGATCTGTAACAAGAGAGAGAAAACATTTTCAGTAGGAAAGGACATTGACCAGAGGAAGTAGGTGTATATATATCTACTAATCTGTAGATCCTCCATACCCATTTACTCTTTCATATGATATTGTTTTGCAAGGAAATTTAATTGAGCAAACGCACTGAAGAGTCAGTTCATCTTGACATATATTACAAGAAAACTTATTTCCCCAATACTTCTATATAATGCTCTTTCACTAGCTGCCACTAGAAGAATGTACTTCAGGTATGCTACTGTAAAAAAACTCCAAACAAACCAACCAACCCCAAAGTATATTTGTATAAATGTGAGGCTGGGTATTTTTGTTCTTCATTAATGAGCCCAACTTTTTCACCCCTGGGATTATTAAACAAACCTCCCAGACTTCAAAAATGCTCACACAGCAAAATGAGACTGTTTGTTACGACATTTACATGAAACATAAAGATTAACACAGATGGCATCTGAATGAACCTGGGCCTTCCATAGGTGAACAATAGTGAAGCAAGGCAAAGTGCTACTGACCACTCTGGTCACATCTGTACAGCCAGAAGTTCCTTTGAACACCAGAGACACTTCTCTTGGGAAACTAATAAATTCTGCAAAGACCTATAAGGTCAGTTTGGAGGGGCTGGGGAAGGAGACAGCAGCAGCAACATTCTGTGACCCAGACCACATCAAGAATGTCACAATGCTGCTTCAGAGCCCCACAGGAACCAATAAGTTCTACTTGAAAAACATTTCTGAAGCCACCTCAAAGCACTACAAAGCCCATGTTCGGCAGCTTTAAGGCCAGGAAAGCAACCAGACCAAGTCCTGTTCATCCATCACACGCCTTTCTGTGACCAGACCTCAGTTCAGGTTCCCATTTGGGGCAGACTGGAAGGACTCATTCCCAACCAAAGTGCAGCTGGGATGGGGTACAGACATTTCCATGGCCAGATGGAGCAGATTAGAAAAACCTTTGACTTTTTGCTTGCACTTAGTGATGAGATACATTTTACAGAAAATCCAGTCTGAATAAACTCACACAAATTACTCCATTTATAGAATCTTGTGTTAAAATTAAATGTTTTAAAGAGATTAGAAAGGTGCCAAGATGAAAATTGAGCCAATCTGCAGCCCAAAGATATGAAAAAGCAGAAGTGAAGAGACAAGTGGAAGATTTTAAACATGTGTTAACACAGTGGAAGAAGTGAACAGTAACATCTACATCCTCAAAATAAAATCTTTTAATTTTCTTCTAATTAATGCCTGCAAAGACTCTCAAGTGCTTGTCTACCGACAGCATCAGCTTCTTACTCTGCATTTCAGACAGGCATTTAAAATAAGGATTTTTTTTTTTTTGCTGAATAGCCTATTGTTGAAGAAAACTGAAAACTCAGCAGCAGCAGCAGCCTTTATGTTACTGAGTCGCTTCCTCCGATGTAGTCTGGTTTCTGAATTTTGGAAAAGCACTTTTAACAGTTCTGGGTGTTTGGGAAACATACTCTGTGTAAAGAAAAGGAATGAGACGGAAGGAAGCTAATATGGAATCCACTTCTCCTAGACTGATAAGACTGAACTGTGCTACTTCCTTCAAAAGCTGCTGTACTGAAATTCCCTTTTGCTTTTTATAGAAATGAAGAGATCCAATGCAAGATTTTCACATCTATAAATAGGATTAGTTTTAATAACGGGGACAAAAATGTATTTTGAAACAAGAGACTTATTTTAAAGCAGTATTTCCTTTAGAAAGAAGTAGGGGTTTCCCTGTCAGAAGGAGTGTGATTAGCCTTTCCATGGGAAGTACTAGATGGGCTTGAGAAGTGACCAGATGGAAAAATATATTAAATATCTTTATATATTTAACAATATATTAAATACCTACAACCAAGCAAGTCTGTCAGTGGAAAGAAGTCTCAATCAGAGATGATTTTCAGAGTGACAACCATTAGAAGTGCGGGGGCAAGGAGTTAAGAGGACCAGCTGGCAAGTGCATGCCAGATTCATCCACATGCAGGACTGGCAGCCATCAGCACTGTCCAGTTAAGAGGATGATCCTGGGCCCAGGAGTGTAAAGCACTGGCAGGAATGCTGCAGATGTGACATGCTATCAGTATTACATGTTTAATACATCACCAGAGCCTGAACTGACCTTTGAAGTTCAGTGCATTCTGGCTGACCAAGACCACCCTAATGTCAGCTTTATTTTTATTATCTTCATGGAAGAGGCAGGGAAAAACCCCAGAGCTTTGCAGATAAAAGGAATACATGTAACATTACAATTCTCCTTCTGGAGAAAGGCAACCTACCAATTTTACTTTCATTGTGATGCTTCCTTGCCAAGAAACTATGTTTACTGAATGAGAAAGTGAGACACAAGTACTTGTGATGCAGAGGACAAAGGGAACTTGCCTGATCTGCTCATCACCTGCAAGAAACTACCCAGCGCAGTGCTGACTGGATCCCCATGGCCTTTAACACCACACACCATCCCCAACCCAGATGAAAGCAGTTTTTTCTGCTGAGGGCAGTGTTTACTGTCAACAGGGACAGGGTGTCCTGCCTCTGGAGGAGTGTCCACAGCCAGACTTCAGGGCTGGAAGTTTCCATTGCGAGCCACCCCCAGGCTGCACCACTCTGCTTAGGACGTAGACCTGAAAAGGGCATGCCGAGCAGGAATGCTGAGCAGGCCACCCAAATGTTAAAGTACAGCTAACTGCTGTTTAGCTGTAACACAGCTACAAGCAAAAATAAGGTGGGAAATTCTTAGGGAACCATAGAATCATTAAGGTTGGAAGAGAACTTTGGGATCACCCAGTCCTACCATCAATGTAGCACTAACTACCACTGTAACCTCTAAAGCACGAAACCACTTCAGATCCAGGACTGAAAGACTGAAGAACTATAGAACTCCAGGGACACTGATTCCACCACCTCCCTGGGCAACCTATTCCAACGCCTGACCACCCTGACAGTGAAGTATTTTTTTCTAATATCTGATGTGAATCTCCCGTCTCAGCTTAAAGCCACTTTCTCTCTGGTTCTCCCACTGCAGGCGTGAAAGAAGAGACCAGCCCTAACCTCTAAGCATGTAAGAACACAGTACTCATCTAAGCTCTGTATTTACCCGCGTCGGGGTGCAATTAAACCCTGCAGGAGCACACAGCCTCTGGGGAACCCTCTCGTTACAATGTGGCGTCACCAAAACACCCCAAGGAAGTTCCTATCCACCCCGGCAAGGGAAAAATCGCTCTGTCCGGAGATTCCTCTATCCGAGCCAGGCTCCTTCCCTCACAGCGATCCTCCTTTCCCAGGGCAGCGCCTCGGCAGAGCCGGGCCGAGCGCTGCCCTGAGGGGCCCGGCGCGCCCAGCCCCGCTCCTCACGGCCCTCGGGGGCTCCGCTCGGGCCGGGGCTCGCGGCCATACCTGCTTCTGCACGTCGGCATCGCTGAGCGCCATGGCGGCGGTGTCGGTGTGGGTGGCAGCCGCAGGCCCAGCAGACGCGCCCGGTGCCGTCGGCGGCCGCCAGCGGAATCAGATCCGGGTCGGGTCACGGCCGGGGCGGGGGCGCCGCGCGCCCCGCCCACCGCGCCTCGGGACCAATAGGAAGGCGCGGGGTGAGTGACGTCACGCGGCCGCGCGGGGCGGGGCGGGTGTGGCGTTGCCGCCGCCGGGGGAACGGAGCCGCCCGCAGGGAGGGAAACCTGCCGCGGGCAGCGCTGAAACGCGGGGACGATCTGCCCTGCCAGGCCCTGAATGGAGCTGCTTTGTGTCGTCAGTGCCCTGCTCCCCACGGCAGGAAGGAGAAGGATGCAGGGAACAGCTGGAGAAGGGGAAGGGAAGCGGGGGTTCTGTTGCTGCTGCCATTCTTTTCGTTACGGCAAAATCCAAGCAAACTTCATCATGTGGAATAATATTGGTGTTTGTTCTAATCGGCTTCCACTTCCACTCTGCAGGAGCATTTGGTGGAAAAGGCAAAACCATTCCTTTACAAATCGGCATCAAATGTGGTATTCGGGACATCCATGCTTCTTCCTGATTTACTTCCATTTCTTTAATTTTTTTCTGCGCCTTTTTTTTTTTTCCCTGTGTGGACAAGCTTATTATAAAACTCCGTGTGTAACTTTGCTGCCTTTGCAAATTGCCTTTATAATGCTGAAAATCAGCTCGTACTTTGGGTCTGGAGGACGCCTTACTATTACTTCAGGCACTATCTAAATAATATTGAAACCAAGTTTTTATAAAGAGAAAAAAAAGAAATAATAGCAAATTACGTCTATTATTATAAGATAAACATTGCTAAATAAAACAACAAATACAGTTGGAATCCATCCAGACTCTTTCTTTTCCGTGCGCCCCCTGCCTTGCCCGGGTGGCGTTCGCTTTGGGACTCTGACCCACCTAACCCACAGCGACCTGGGGGTCAGGCGCGCGGGAACTGAGCTGCCAAGGGCTCTTTTTCCCCCGAATCCACGAGGAAAACGGGAGAGGGTGGCACAAGCAGCTCCCGCTCGTTCTTTCCCGGCGGCCGCCGCTCCCGCCCGTCCCCTCTCCGTCACGTGACGCAGGGCGGAGCCCCGCCCACCCCCCCCGGGCGCGAGCCGTGACGCGCGGCACGCGCCGCGCCGCGCCCCGCGCGCTCCTGCCCCCGCCCCCCTCCATCATGGCGGCGGCGGCGGCAAATTAGGGCAGAGCTCGCGCACCGGGCGCGCGCCCGCCCGTCCCCCCCCCCCTCTCCCCCCCCTCACCGCCCCCGGCGGGAGCGACCCGGGAGCTGCGGCCGCTCCACCGCCGGTTCCTCCCCGCCGCGCCCGCAGGTGAGGAAACGGGCGTGGGAGCGGGCGGGCCGGCTGTTTGTTTTGTTTATTTATTTATTTCCCTCTCTGTCTGTGTTTGCTTGTTCATTTAAGGGTGGTTGGGGCGGGGGGGGGAGTGAGGACCGGCGGCGCCGCGCGCTCCCGCCCCCCCCCCCCTTATTGGCTGGGGGGGCAGGCGGGCGCGCGCGTTTCGGCGGGGGCAGGCGCGCCCCCTGGCGGCCGGTGGCGCTGCCGCCCCGCCGCGGAGAAGGACGCGCGGACCCCGGGACAGCCCCGGGACAGCCCCGGGACAGCCCCGGGACAGCCCCGGGACAGCCCCGGGCCCGGCGGGCGGCAGCCCAGCGGGGCCGTGCTGGGCCCCCGGTGGGGCCGTGCTGGGCCCCCGGCCGCTCCCCCGCTGCAGGGGCCGCGGCGGCGCGCAGGCCCCGCCGGTGACTCATCCCGGCGCCGTGCCCGCCCGCCCGGGTATAAATATCTCATTCATCGCCGTAGTAACTGAGGGGCTCACGCTGCGCTCCCGCCGGCGCCGCTGAAACTTGGAACTGCTTCGTTTCGGCTTGTCAAACCCAAGCAGAAGCGTTGGGACAGAAGGTGAATGGAAGCTCGTTAATAAAAGCGGTGTTTGTCAAAATTTAATGTTGTGGCGAGATGGTTTGAAGCTGCAAAGGATTGAGGACCTGTGTAGTAGATAACGCATGTAGCTTTTGTTTTTCTTCCTAGAAATCACCCCGTTTGCCTAGAATGCTGACTTAATTGCATTTCTGTCAAAGGTCAGCTACAGCCACTGTCCAGATAAAGAACAATTAATGTTTTCCAGTATTTCTATCCATTAAGTGCCGCCAGAGGATGAGTAGTGGCTGCAGCATTGATTCATTTTCAGTAGGAACTGACATGTTTGAACTGATCAGTTTTCAGTTTATGATAAACAATCTCTTAGCATAACCTCATACACAGTTGGAAAAATACTCCGGAGAATTTATCTCCCAAGTTGATCACAGCTGGATGCTTTGGATAGTCTTGCCTGTTATGAGAAATGTTTTCAGAGGCAAAGTGCTGCAAGGTTTAACTAGTCCACACATGCAAGTCTCACCCAAAATCCCCACACAAGCCTTCTGGTACAGCTGCTGAGTGCGTGAATATTTTCCATCGTGTTGATATGGGGTGTGGCTCTGTAGACCTGCAACTCCTTGAAATTCGGTAGGTTTGGTAAAGGGCACCGTGCAAACCCGAGGCTGTAGATGCAGCTAAGCTGGGAGTGGCTGCCTGTTGGTGAGATTGATGTCAGGAAGACAACTCAAACCGTGAGCATATCCATATCAGGTGGCCCTGAAAACGATCTGAGCTGCAGTGCTGCCGTGGTGTTGCCCCTGTGCCCACCCGTGCTCTCTGGCTGAGGCCGTGTGTGTGTTGCAATAATTCAGCAGCAGCAATAATTCTGCCACAGCGGCTTGCACAGTGACTGGGTTTGTAGCTGGTAAGTGAGGCCTGGGCTCTAGGTGGGGAATGCATCCAGCTCTGGAAAGACTCTCCTTTGGAGTGGAAGCTGAGGGCCATGCTGCTGCTGTTTGGAAAAAGCTCTGGCAGTGCTGCTGTTTCTGAAATCCATAGGTGACAGTGATCGCCTACGGTTTTGTTGATTAAAAACCAGCTGAACTGCTCTGGGCAGTAGAGCAGTGATGTTGCATTTTGGGGCTTGAATGACGCACAGTAAACACCTCTTGATGCACAGAAGGGTTTCACAGATAGGGACTGAAACACAGCTGGCCTCATCGCTGGGGATTATATTCGCTGTATTCATTGGTAGGTTTGTGCTGCCCATTATCCAATCCATTATCTGCCGTGGATTAGGACGTGACAGATGGGGAAATGTCAGTCCTGCTGCAACTCCTGCTCTCAGGTTGCTTGAGCAGCTCAAGCCCACATGAAACAAGTGACAGCAGGGCCGGAGGAGTGACAAGCTAAGTAAGCTTCAACAGGTATAGCCTTCTATCCCCCAAAGGTGCAGGAACTGGGAAAGGCTTTTTTTTTTTTTGTAGGGAGTAATTGGTAATAATGTTGATCTCTGTAGTTTTTTTAAGGACACTGTTCCTTCAGAGAACCTGTTAAACCAGAAGTAGCCCTCTTGCCCTGGCTTCGAGACTTGGGGATTCTGTGTAATGCCTTGTTTCCTCTGCTCCACTGTATCACCTGTACAAGCTTATCGTCTTAAACACTTTCTGGACTCTCTTCCGTTCGGCTCCTTTAGCGGAGAGCTCTCTTTCCTCTCATCTAGTCTCTCAAGCTGTGTGTCCTTTTTCAATCCCCCTCATTTCTGAAAAATGGCCTTTTCTGAGATATTTACAGTATCTGAGTCAATATTTCTGTGTTTGTCTTTGTAAACAAAACTGATCATTCGCAATCCTAAATGAGTCATTCAGTTACTGTGCTGTGGGCTTCTCTCAAAGGAATACCAGTGATTCTGAAGTAAACTTCCACTTATGACACTCTTTTATGTGAATTTGAACATTTGTTCCATTCAGGTTCTTAAGTCTCCTTTCTCATTTCATTATAAAACTGCCTCTCAAAATAGATCCACCAAGGTAATTTTTTTCTTAATCATTCTTTCCCCAGGGAAACATTTGCCACTGTTTAAATAAGCAGGGGTCTTATTCTCTCTTTCTCTGTTTTTTTTATTTCCCCTCCTCCCCTCAGAAGTGCTGAGCTGCAATTTTTGTGAATTAGGCCTCCCTGTTGCACTGTGCTGCATTGGATATCATGTGCTTGTTTTGATCAACCTTTTATTTCATTTCCGCATTGATTTGAAATTATATTTTGAGGAATAATCTATTATATATCCAGACTTGTTCTTTGGTCCACAGCACAGTTTCTGGATTTTTTCAGGAGAGATCAGTTCAGGTTCTGGAAGGGCTCCCATTCACTATGTAGGCATTGCAAGAAGCATTTTGATTTCAGGGCTGTGGCTCTACTGAACAAACCAGAACTGGAACATGCTGGGGAGCTTTTGCTTTTTGGGGAATGGCACCTTTCACACCTGGTGATGTGAATATGTGATGTAGTGACTGCATGTGGTCTGAAGAGCACATCTATTGTTAAAGGGTCCTAAAGTCTTCAGAGCAGTTACTTTTTTTTCCAGATCCTCTTGCTCTGTGAAAATCTCAATTATGGAAGAGGCTCAAGGACTGTCATAGTGTGGCCTTTATCAGAGAGCCATTTTTTGGTTTCAGTACTGAATGAATTTCAGAAACTAGAGTTTCTAAAGAGACTAGTCAGCCAATTTTACACCAGTTTTTTTTCCTTTTGCAGCTTTTACTTTGGTGGTAAATTTTTCTTTGCCAAGCTATCTATTCCCAAAGTAACCATGCCACAGTGCAGTTCTAGTTCTGTTTATCCTCAGTAACCAGTGTGCAACTGCAGTTAATCTGAATTCCTTCTCGGGGAGGAGGGATTAGAAGTTAACCCAGTCATCTTGAACAGCTAGACTGGCAAATGCTTTTCTTTTGCTTTCTCGGTTTATTATTATTATTTTTAACCTTGAGGCTTCATTTGCAGATTGTTTTTTTGTTTTGGAGCCTGATTCTTTCTTTTAGTCCCAAGACATTTCTAGTGCAATCCATAACTCTTGAGAGGATCCAATTTCTCTTTCTTGTATATAGCATTTTCCTCATTCTAACTGCTTTAAACTTTTAACTTGATAAAAAACCTTCTTCTAAATGTGACTTCAGTCTCACATTACTAAATTATCTGACTCTTTCAGTGCCTGTTCAGTAGCTGTTCTGTAGCACAAACTTCCTTGTGTGCCTTTCATTTACACATCTATTCTGGTGGCCAAGAATGGGCTACTGCTTGTTTGGGAATGACTCTTTGAAGTCCTGGAGAACTTAACTTGAAGAAACCTCTGGGTAGCATTATTTGATCCATTAAGTTGACAGGGTGTTGGAAGTAGTTATCCAGACTTCACCAAACAAAAAGAGCTAAAACATGTTGATTAATCTCAAACATCCTTTTAATCTGTTGCATGTCTTTTTCCCCACTTCCATGTTGTTGTTTGAGATTTTATTTTTTACCATGTTGTTTTCAATTTCTCTCTAGTTTAGTTTTTCCTGCAGTTCTTATTTGGATATTTCAAAAAAGCAACAAAACAATTAGAGTGAAACAGGGAGGAGTTCTTTGGCCGGGTGTTGCTGTTAGGTGTGGATTTCTGATTTATACTTAATAATGTCTGGGTGAGAAATCCAGGACAAACAACCACCTGTTCTTCCAATCCCTACAATGAATGTGGAATGTCATGTGGAATTTACTCTGTTGACTGTATGTTTTCCATTGCTGTTGGAACAGTAAAATTAATTTGAGGCAATTTTGGTCACTTTTTCTGCATTACAATTTTTGAGCATCACAGTAGCGAATCTGAGAAAGCAGAGAAAATACTCAGGGGAGCCTTTGGGAGAGAGAGACTCCTCCGAACCAGTCTGTTCTCCACATGTTGTGGTTCAGACTTTGTCAAAACATGAACTTGTATGGTGTTGTGTGTGGTTGAGATGGGAGTCATTGGGAGGATGACACCGACTGTGGGACTGCTCATTTTGCTTCCAGGGGAGTGTGACCATGGCAGGCAGGAGTGAGAAATGTCACTGCTGGCAGCAGGCAGGGAGCTGCACTGAGGCACAGTTTGGGCTTTACTCTGCATGGTTCTTATTAAAATAAGAATGCATATGGTATCAGGGCAAAAACCGGGATATTGCTTCAGGATTGTTACATAATTCCTTGCTACATGTGGGTTCACGACCTGTTGCAGTCTTCCAAACCAACAAACAAAACCCTTTGCTGTTCCCTGACAGCCTTCCTGGCTCCCCAGAGCGCAGCCGACGTGCCCCACGCAGCACAGCCACCCCGATGGCGTCCGCTACTGCCGTGCCTGTAGGATTTCACTATGAAACCAAATACGTAGTGCTCAGCTACCTGGGTCTTCTAGCACAGGACAAGCCACAGGAGCATCCTCCTCCTCCTCCTCCTCCTCCAACTCAAGGTAATATTTGCATATTCATCTCTAGCATTTACATGTGCAGCTGGATTTGCAATTACGTCTTGGGGTGTTTCTGCAGGGATGCAGAGTGCGAGCCTGATGTTCGATGTCATGAATCTCTTGGTTTATTCAGTGAAAAATGAATAAATTTCAATTGAAAGATGAGAGATACTGCTGGAAACAAAGCTGTTTGTATGTAGATTAATGTTTTAATTTGAGCTATGCCAGGGCTGACTGGTGTTTAGGAAGCAAGTAAGTGGTTTTAGTCACTGTCTTGGGGCTAAAGGTAAACATATATTACCTTTGTTGAGCCAGCATGAGAATTTCAGCCCATGCTTGCTATTTTTTTGGGACACAAGTGGAAGTAAGCAGGGGTGAGGTGATGTTTACTGGCATAAACTGTGTGGTGTCTTGAGCAATCTCCTGTGCTAAATAGTTTTGCCCTATTACACTGAGGCTCCTGTTGTTGTCAGTCAGTGCTGGTACAGAGATGTGGCCTGTGCTACTTCTGTTTGTTTATTTATTTATTTACTTATTTATTGAGAAGTCAAGGACTGCGTGGAGTTAGATGTTTCTTCCAGGACAGGTTTATGGATAGAAGAGGTTAAATCAATAAATAGAAGGCAGAATAAAAGAAGTTTGGTAGATTGTGTTTCACATAAACCTAGGAGGTAAAGCTGTTCTTTATTTTATGATGGCAAGCTCTTAAGCAATGTTGTTTGTCACCCAAGCCTGGGTGATTTGTCACTTCTTAATGATGTTTTAATCACTACTAGTTCTGTGATTCAGAACTTACTCCGATGAAAGGAGACTTAAAAAAACTCCAAACCAAAAAGAGACAGTCTTCAGAATCTTTGTTTTCTTTGAACAATCATTTAAGAATGCATATGCTGTCATTTACTGAACTTACCTGTCATTAAGTGAGAAATTCCTGAAAAGACTGCAACAAGGTTATGACAGAACTGCTTTTCAGTTTGGTGTTAAATCACATAGCATATGCTGATTGTATTATATGTAATTCATTAAATGAATATTAGTATATGTAATTAATAAAATTAACCTTAATGCATTTAAGGTATGTTTGCTACTTCCACTTTGACTGCATCTGTGGTCCATGAAAGGAGAGGCGCCTTAGCTGTTTCATAAAACCCTTTGTTGAAAAATCTATTTATTTTAGCAGTAACATGTCATTCTGAACATCCCACCCATTTATAACTGGGCTGTAACTGGAATTGTTCTATAAATAGAAGATTTAGAGAGGAAAATGCTAGTCTTAAAGCTTTTAAAAAATTATTTGGCTGTGGTTACCTTTGAAGTATTTGCAAATTGAGGTGAAACCTTTGCTTTTCAGAATCAGTTGATTCTCATTACTGGAAGCTCTAAGCTTCTAATCTGAACTACTGAGGTATATTTAAACTTTCTAAAGAGGAAGCTACAAATTCTTAAATGAAAATTTTGTAATTACTTAAGAGGACTTCTCAGATATTGTTTAGATGTGTTTGCTTGTGTCACAGCAGTCTGTAGTTGGATTTGCTACTAAAATAACTCTAAAGCATTCATACTTTACAACTTCTAAAGAGGAAATCTTCCTACATTTTCCCCACCTCGTTCCCCAAACCAGACAGTGACCACAGTGTCTCCTCTCCTGGTCATGTTTCACTTTAATTAGGTCTGTCTTTCAGTGTTTTTGCTGCTTTCTGATCAAAGCCTCTGGATTGAATAATTTTGCCTTACTTTTAATTTGCCAACTTGCTTCTCTCTCTGTTTTGTAATGCTTTGAACGGGCTTCAGGCTGTATTGAACTAAGCAAATGCTTTATCCCTCTGCTTCAGGATTTGTTTCATTCTTTCCTAACTGACTTTTCCTGGTGGTGGTTTTCTGCCTTCCATGCTTCTGAGAAGTTTCTTTTGTCTGCTAGCTAGATTTTAAAAATCCTTTCTCCTACTTTTGCTTACCTTGCTTGTAATTAAGCAGTGTTTGAGCTGCATTCCTGGGCTATGTGTGGTTATTTCAGAGTGCTGTGTGCCTCTCCATTGATTGTTGAGCAGTTTATATTCCCAGGGTGTATCCCCTTGTTGTTTGGCATGTGGTTGATGGCTGCTTGCTGTAATCTGCAATCCTCTAGGAGTGGAGCAGGGCCCATAATGGATATTTCCTGCCCTGCCTAATGCGCTGCTGGGAGATGTAGCTGGGTGTTACAGTCCCGAGTGTGAGCTGAGAAACCTGGGTAGAACAAGAGGGATGGGAAAGCAGGAAATGGAAATGAACTGTTGTTGTCTGGAATCCCATCTTGAGGAGGAGACTTCTGGGTTTGGTGATAGACATGGGAGGGGTAACAACAGCACAGCACAGCATTTCTTCCTTCTTGTCGGTCTGTTTTCCAAGCACCATCACCAGTTGTTGATACAACACCTTGAGTGATCCCAGATTCCTTCCATTGTAGATTTCTGTGGCACTTCAGAATGCTGGTCAGGAGTCTTTCTACTCTATGACTGAACACCATTGATTTGTGAATGGAGAAGATTCCAATAAAAAACACCTGTCCTTAATCTTATTTTGCTTTGATTTGGTTATTGTGCTGACAGACCTTCCATGGGGGTAATGAAGGAGCAATTTCGCCTGTTGCCTGTTTCCTTTCCACTTGCAGAACAAACTCCTGTATTTTGTTTCATTCATATGAGGCCTTGACTGAGGTTTGCAGTACTTTCTCTTCATTTATTTTTCTTAGATCCAAATAAGACTGTACTCCTGGTAAGTTTTCTGAATAATTTTCGGTATAATGGGAGTATCCAGGAAGACAAGTTTTAGTTTGCCTGGGCATACTTAAGCTCTTTGTCTGCTTGAGAGTGAGGGACTCCTCTAGAGGGCGGTTCAGCGCAGGATCCCAATTCCAGCCACCTTGTGTCACCCACTGGAGGATCTTCTGCCTTTCCATTGCATGTGTACCAAACACAGAAGATGAGGAAAAACGGTGCACTAGGTTGTTCTTAGGATCTCTGTGTTTCCCTTGAGTCTCCTTCTACCACAGTGTCCCAGATTTCAGTGACGTTTCAGCACTCCAGTTGAACTTGAAGGCGTATCTGGTGGGTCAAAACCACCCAAAAACACCCAGCCAAAAAAAGTGATCTTTCCTAACAGTAGTGGTACTATATTATCTCTGCCACAACTGCCTCTGTTACCATCATCTTCTTCTCTTTTCCTGCATTTTGCACTAGTTTTTTTTTCTGGTGTATGTCTTTCTGTTTCAAAAACTGAGATAAAGCTTTAGATGGGTTGATATGTTTCCAGTTAGAACTTCATTGTTTGTAGCCATAATGTGCTTTGCAAGAGTGATGGTTTTTGGAGGGTTTTTATTCAGTGAATAGAAAATTCAGAGAAATTATATAGACAGTTACACTGCTGTGTTTCCTTTTGGGTCTCTTGGTTGGTCTTGGTTTTGTTGCAAGAAGGATGGCTTCAATTACAAGCATTAAAATCACTTCTGACTTCAAGCAAATAAGGTTGTTCTAAGTCAACACCTGATGAGCACTTGGAAATTTTTATTTTGCTATCTTATTTTCAGCACAGGGACTGAAGAGAGAGCCATCTACAGTATTCCAGACTCTTGAAGAAAAGACAGTTTTACTGGGCAAGCCAATCTTTTATATAGTGTTCTGTAATGGATTTCAGTGTCTTCAGAGGTAAATCCAGCAAATTTAACTGGCCAAATGCTTTGAGAGATTTTTCCTATTAGTTTTTTTCAGAATAATGATTCTGCATAAGTCACTGCAGTTTATTTAAAGCAAAATCTATTAGCAGTCTATTCTGTTACTTCTTAGTAGGTTCTCAGGTAGGTGAACTAATCAGATAAATTAATAGAACACATAGAGTAGCATCACCTGTGTTAGTCAATGTGGTTTGAGGCAACAGATGAGTACATATTTTTAAAATATGTGGAAGTGCTCAGTTGTCTGTTCATTATATTGCAGAGAGATGTTTTCTATTTTTTCAGACCTCTTCATACTTATAAATACTGGTTCAGACACAGAAAATAATTATTAAGTACTGGAAAACATCTCTACACTTTTCCCCCTGATGTCACTCATTACTGAAGCTTCCACTCTGCTGCAGTTGTTAGTATTATTAACTTTTCAAGTGAGTCAAAGTACTTTGGTTTTATGAGTCAATGTATTTGTATTATAAATGTTTATTTATATTTTACTGGGGAGTGACTTTTAATGTATTTCTCTATTTTAATGTACTTCCCCATTGCTTGACACCATCCCATGAGCTTGTGGCTACAACAAACTGTGAAGAAAATTAGGTTTTCTGTGTTTTTCTTGACAGAGTGAAAAATCTTAAATAATCCCTTAGTTTACAGAGCATCTGAAAGATTTAGTCAGTGCCACTACTGCATGGTGACATAGGTTAGCCAGGAGGTGAGCAAGGTTTTGGCAGTTTTACAGTTTCCCTGGGGTGCATGCTATCCCCAGTACTTTAATCCAGTTATGGTGCACAATATCCTTTTGACCATTTATTGTCTTTTTGGAATTACCATATGAAGTGCTGTATGTAGTTGGTGATCGAGCCATTTTCCTGGTTTCCCATACACAAGGTACCTACTGTTGGCTTGTAAGAAACTGAGTTTTTTAGGTTGTTTTTGGGCTGTTTGGGCTGTAAAGATTCACATTGTAGGTCAGAGCAGTTGAGTTCATGGTAATAAGGGATCTATTCCCTGAACTGAGGCAATGAAAAGGAGCTTTTTGGGGTGTGAACTCCCACTTGATTAAGCCTTCTCTCTGCCCATTAAAAAAAAAAATAGTGCTAGTTGGTGATATCATGTCTCATTTTAATATTTTCGATTTTTTCATTTTCTCTTAAGCTGAGCCTTCTTATGGTTTATAAACAACTTCTTTTCAACATTTCTGAAATCAAGGGCTACATCTATGTGTGGCAGTCCATGGTCTGGAATTTGCTGGTGTAATAGATGTACTTTTCATTAAAGGAAACAGATAAATACATTTGTAAAGAGATTTTGTATAACTTTGTCACTTCTCAGTGCTTATAGTAATTTTAGGGTCTTACTTAATGTTTTAAAATATGTGAGATGTTAAAGAAATATTACAGTCATGCTGAAAGTAAGTTTTTAAGTCAACTGGACAGAAGTTAATAGAGAGACATAGGAGAATTTGAAAATGAAGATACTGCTAAATTAAAATTACAGGCATGAAAGAAAAAAAAAAGGCAGGAGCAATCTGTGACGTCAGTGGCTTTCTTTTTCAATCATCCTTCATTCCCTTAAACTAAAAAGGCATTAACATCATCTCAGTCTCTCCTTATAGTTGCTGTTGTCCATTGCTAGCCGAAATTTTGGCTTAGGCACTGTAGAATGAGATGTGCAGACTCTAGCTCTTATGAATGACTTCCCATCCCTCCTCCTTCTGGGATTAAACCTGGCAAATGGGTTAGTCTTGTATTGTTACTGAGCTTCTGGAGTTTTACTGAAGTATTACATTTATTTAGTAGTCAGGTGCTCCCTGATGCAGTGCTTGATGGACTTTCAGAACACATTTTCCTCTACTTTTTAGGTTACTTCCAAACACCTGAAACCCAAAATCTTAACAGGAACATAATTGTGTCTAAGTGAACATTTATTCCATAAATAGAAAGTAGAATGCACTAACTTGGTTATGTAAGAACACATAACAGAGGTTTGTTGTGCCTCTGGGTTGGGAAGAGGCCTTGCAGAGGTGGTTTGCCAAAAGCCCAGAAGAGGCAGACCCATTTCTTGAGCACAGGAAGGTATTCAATGCTTATGGCTCTTACAAACACCATTTATGAGAAATGGTGTGACCATTTGCATCTTTGATCATGAAAATATATTCTCATCTAAAATAAACTGGTTTTACTGTTTTCTTCTACCTGCTTGTGACTTGGAAGTTGGATAATTGAGAAAAAGATACCCCTCACTTAGGACCTTTGCTTTGTGCAGTGTTTGTTGGTAGCAGTCAATATCCAGGAGATGCAGAAAGCTGAAATCCATTCTTTATGAGGGGAATAAGCAGTGCAAAGTCACTGCTCTGGGAGTGGTGGGGTTTTGATGTTTTGGCATGACTGAATAGTCAGGTGCTCTCAGAATCAGCAGCTGCTGCCAAGTTGTGGGTGTTACGATATGGAAACCATTGACTGCAGTGCTGATTATCTAAACAGCTCTTTTGTACTCTGGCAGCAGTGGAATTTCTCTTCCTTCCATTTTCCAGGTGACTTCTTATCCAGTATGACAGCTTGTCATGTGTGATCATTGTCACATTAGTCCCATGAGAATGGGTGCTCCTCTGTCCCTTCCAGACACGAGGAAAGCTCAGGTTCACACAAGGGGTGGCACTTGCACACACTTGTTGCACTTGACTCAGGAGCAGTGGTTCAGTTCTTCAAAGAAGTGACTGACAGGGACTGACAGGGCATTAACCAAAAAGAGGAACAGTTTGCTCCTCTGTGGAATTCATTACTCAGACTGGCAAAGAGACACTACTTGGGAAGGGATTTAAGAAGCTAAGTAAAGTTATTCTGAACATGTGTGGTTAAGTCAAATGGAATTAAACTGATTGGTCACAGAAATAAATGAAAACATTTTATCCTGACTTAAGCATACATTGGTTTAGAGGGATCGTTGCTGAGTTTTAAGCATTAACATATGTTCGGTGGGTTGATATTGTGGATTTTTAATGTATTTTTCAATTGTAGGAGCCCTTGGAAGCTTATTGTCTAGTGGTTTTTTAAATACAGGAAATGCATAGTGTACTTCACTAGTGTGTAGTTAACTACACATCTGTGTGTGTTGAGTGCTTTTATGGTTTTCACACACCCTTTTATGAAATTGAGTGATTATATGTGTCCATTGTGGAAGAAAAGGAAAGGCAAGACAACATTTTAAAGTGAAACAAACCAAAGGAAACAAGCAGAGAGAAGAGAAACAAACCAAAGGAAACAGGCCACAAAGTTGTCATTCACAAGACCAGTAAATGATGATTTAGTGCCTTCAAAACAGGAATGAAAAAAGATGTGCCAGAAAGCTCTGCTGGCTGTTAGAGGACTTACCTGAAGATCTGGATGTGAAGTGAAAGTGATGAGGTGGAAATTGAGTCAGATGATGCCAATATTACAGATAGAAACCTTTTCCCTTTTTCTTTTCTTAACTGAGTGAAGAATATCTATAGAGCAGAACATTGTCTGGGTGTCTAGGTAGAACTGTGGCCCTGGGTGTAGGTACAGAAAGGGTGAGAAATTCAGATGTCCTGAATACCTGGATTTGTTTGGAAACAGTTTTGTGTCTCTTGGTACAGCATAATGATTAAGATGATTGAGAGTCTGTGTAACCCTGACTGATACGGCTGAAACAGCTTCTGTTACCAATATCTAGAGTCAGCACATAGAAAATGTATTTGTGATCCTAAACGATGGCATGTGAACTTCTGGGGATATGTAGCCATTTCAAACACATAAATATCTTGGTTAAGAGAGGAGAATTGGCAACTGACTGATAATTGTGAGGTCCTTTGCCTCTAGTCTTGCTTGTGAACCCAGTGTTAAATTGTGGCCTGTAGACTCCTCGTGGCCAAAGAAATGATAGATGGTTAACAGGTTTCAGGATTCTTCATTGATGTCATTGCATAGTTGCTCTGAGAACATTGTAGATTTTGCAGGCATCAGTATAAATTTTATATTTTGCTATTAAAAATCAAGCTTATGCCAGTCTGCTTTGTTTTGGTGTAGTTTGATAATAAATGTATTAGGTGTAATGGTTGATTATTTATGTGCCTTGGTTTGCTTTTGGTCTTAAATTGAAGATGTTGCCTCTAAAGTTCATACTCATCCTGTTTGTAGCTTTGCAGTTATTTTTTTCATTTTTCTTTATTTTTTTCTTTTTTAAAATGTATTTAAATCACCAGTTCTACCCTGAATAGGCCTGGAAATTTATCTGTTTCTGGGTTTGTGTAATAAAACTTTTGAAATAAATCCTCTGGAGGGATCATACTTGTTGCTGTGTGAAATTGAAATTCCAACTCAAATTCCTTTGTACTTAATATTTCAATACCTTGTTCCATTATCTACCTTGTTTGAAAAATTAAATTAAAACATTTGAATGATTTCTCTGGTTTCTTTCAGGGACTCAACAACAGCTTATGGCACAACATGCTCTGGAGAAAGAGGCTTTGGAGAAGATTAAAATAGAAATCGAGGAGGAGCTAAAACATCTTGATGAAGAAATCTTGGAAGGTGCTCTTCAGATTTTCCCGTTTCAATCCATAATCTCTATGCACTGTAATGGTGGTTAATTTGTAACAGGTACTCCAGTTAAAGAGATTTTTGAATGCCTTGAATCTCTTTATCCTCCTCCCCCCACAAGATTTGTACACATTGCCACATGGAGTAAAATAGTTAAACGTTACCATTTGGAGTGGCGGAGCCTGGCCAAAGCAAACAACTGGATGACATTTAATAGTCTACTATAAATAATGAAAAGTAAGCAGCCCTTAAGCTGCTGCACTTGTTGACAGAAGTCCTCGGGAGCTAATGTGTCAAGGAGCGTGGACTTAAACCATCAGATTTCTCCCTTCCACCAGGTTTATTTTTTGTGATATGCTTTGACCTGTACGTGTGGACTTTTATAGGACTCCCAGCAAGGAATGATTTTAAACCCATCTTTGCTTTGCTTGTGTGTTGCAAATCATAAATCTGAAATAGAAACACTCTAGAGCTGTTTAAGTTCTTTCATATGAAGCTTTCTTAGAAGTTTTAAACTGAGAAGGGAAAGGTTATATGAACAAAATAATATTTTTAAAAATTATACTCTAGTACTGCTGCAGAGATGTCTGTGTGTGGGCAAATTTACTATGAAAAGAGGCTCTTCTGCTGCTCCATCAGGGTTAGCATCAGCTTAAAATGGGAGAATAGCTGCATGTTCAGCAAACTTGTTGGTTAAGATGCAATTGTGAAACAAGAACTGGTGGTGAAATGTAGCTCAGTAGTCTCTGCCTTGTAAGTAGCACTTTCAAAATGTATTTGGACAATTGTACTATGGTTTGTTCATTGCATGCTTTGACTAAAGAGTTGTGATTTTTTCGTCCCTTATGTAAACTGTGTAAACTGCTGGGATAAGAAATCTGGGGCTGTTGATGTTCTTCCATGAATCTGTTTTATTTTGTGTACCTTCTTCTCTCAGCATTTACCACTACAGGGTTTGACTGCCACACTTCCCCAGTGTTCAGCCCTGCCAATCCAGAGAGCTCCATAGAAGACTGCCTTGCTCATCTGGGGGAGAAAGTGTCCCAGGAATTGAAGGAACATCTGCACAAAGCACTGCAGAGCTTGCTTAGCAAGTGAGTTTCCATTTGCTTTTTCAAAGATGTTTCTTTTTGCACTGTGCTGCTGAAATGCTGAAGTTAGGACTGCCTCTTGTATGGCATTTCTTTCTTTTTCAATCTTCCTTTATCTGGCTGGGTTTATTTGTTTTGTTTTGCGATGTAATGTGCAAATACTTCTTTGTGGTATTTGCCCTTTGCAGCAATGTAAGTTCTAAAATTTTTAGCTTTTGTTGCTGAATTTCTGAGGCTGCTTCAAGCAGTTTGAGTTGCTGATGAAACTGGCAGCTGTCATTGCCAGTCTCATGAATGCTGGGCTGTAGCTACACTAATGTCCTTATCCTTATAGCAAAGAGTGGAGCTGAAGGTTTGTTTGTGGTCTGGCCCATGATAAGGAGAGTTTCCTGGAGAGGATGGTTACAAGCCTTGTGACCACCCTGGGCTCACTTTGGTGCCTTAACAGCTGTCCTGCCAGTTTAAGCGTATTGTGTAAATAGCACATTGCAGTTGGCATGCTAGTATCCTAATTAATGATTTTGCAAATTGGTACAATTGTTGTAGTTGCTTGATTTTCTGTTATAAATGGCCAGCCTGAAATTTAATGGATCTACATGAACTACTTGAGGCTTTTCTGAGTGACCTCCAAAATGTGTTGGTAGGGAGCTGGAGTTGGAAGGTGCTTCTTTAGGAAGAGTTGCATAAATGCAGCCATGCATTTAAGTGGTTCCAGCTCGTTGATATTCTGATGTTCTAGGCTTCCTGTGTTTTCTATAGGAAAATATTTGCTTTCTAATTTTTTGTTTATGTATGTACATACATAAAGTCAGAAATGCCTGTGAAACTGTGTTGCCTTTTTCTAAGACAAATTAGAGTTACTGTTTAATCTCTTGATAATATCCTTCCTGCAGCTGTTCCTGTTCTTCTCATCCCACTGATTGATTTAGGTTTGGTTTCAAAGAATTAATGTGCCAAGGAGAGTGCCCTTAAAATGAAAAACCCAAATTACATTTTCCTGGGGTGCTTTAACTTGGTTCTTTTCCCCCTGTTGCTAGAGTAGCACTATTTGATGCAATACTAATTTGGCTTATATTTTCCTGCCCTCTGATATGCATATAAGCAAGTGTTTACAGTATAGTAGGTACAGTAGGCTGTCAGATCATGACAGGTTCCTGGAGTTCAATAAGCAGTTTTCTGTCCAATGCCAGTTACCATTATTCCCATTAAACTGAAGTCTCAGCTTGCCTTTTGTAATGATCTGGGCTGAAGACAGCTGCTTTTGAAGCAGTGCATCTTCTCCTGTCACTTGGCAGAAAGCCTTTGCTGTTACTGACTCTTAGATTCCAAATGATATTGGAGAAAAGAGTATGGAAGAAAGGAATTTTATCATCCCAATTCAGAGAAGTAGAGATGTCATAAATCTAGACTAGAGGTATCTACTGAAGTGTGAAGGGGCTTTGTGATCAAAATTGCTGTTTCTTGCAAATAAAGGTTTCAACTCTAACAATGTTAATGCAGTCAAATAGTCTGTATTAGTCCGTAGCCTGTATTGTTTGCAAAATTTTACTCTGCATTGGCCTCTAGCTCAGGTATGAATTTCTTAGTGGAATGCCCTGTCTTTAAAATTTTAGATTATAAAAAAAAAAACATGCAAGGGCTTAGAAATTTTCTAGTATATCAGAGAACCTACTTATCTAATGTCTTATAAGCTGTAGAGTATCAAATTATTAGGAAATTCACCAGCTATATCAAAATGTGTAATTGGGAGAAAGGTGATGCCTTCCTGACTCTGTCTGGTGCTGGTGTTTAATGTCCTGAAACACAAGACTTGTTAGGTCTTGAAAATCATTTGCTGTAATACATGTGAAAATACTTTGGAAACTGAGAACTTTCTTTTATTCACGCTCTTTTGTTTCCTTTTATAACTTTCAGTGTTGGTTTAACTTCTGCAGGCCGGTGACATATCAGGAATATCGGGAGCGCACGCAGGAGGCATCTGCTCATGCCAGTGGATGGAACAAGGTACCAGATCAGTGACTTGCACTTGGATATGTCTTGTGTATCTTTGATGTCCATATTGTTTATACTAGCCACAGTTGTGCTTCAGAGAGGGTCAGAAATAGAAAGAACTTGGTTTTAGTATGAAATAAATTGCACTCTCAGAGTGGTAGATGTGCACATAGTAGGTAGTTTTGTAGATAATTTAGCTAGAAGTTACTGAATGGAAGTGTTAGGTCAGCCTTCCTTTAGTTTGGTAAAATGAAAAGTTAGATAAGTTGCTTGACTTACTTTGTTTAAATTCCCAAGAGAGGTTAATTCGTGCAGCAGTTTTGGAACAAAATCTGAGATGTTTTTTTCATAACACTTCTCTACTCCTTTTCTGCTCCAATGTCAGGTTTAAAATAAATGTAAAAAAGAGTGCTGAACATGGTGAAAATAAAAATTGACAGTATCTTAATGATATTTAAATTGTTCAGAAAATGTTATGGATGGTGTTCCTACCTGGTTTCAAAGGGTTGTTATCTCTAATGATAGGAGTCTTTTAAACAAAATGCAAATCTGTAAATGAATTATCTTTAATTCCTTCTAATGTACAAAGAGTAGATTACTCTTCCCAGATTGTTCTTTCATTAATCATTCAAATTCATCACTATAATCTTTCTCTTATGGGTTCAGTGGGCATCAAAACAGAATGAAATAACTATTTGCAAATGTAGTCACAATTTGAGTGTTAAAATGTAGTCTTAAATTTAAAATAGAACAAGAAATCTTCCCCCCCCCTTTACATATTTTTTCCAGAAAAACATTTTCCTGCCTAGATTCCCCTGCTTACTTCAGAAACTGTTCATCTAACCAAGGGTGTGGACCCTTGTAAAGCAGTTTAATAAACATTGCATGACAAGTTACTGCCCATGGCTCCAGCAATTATTGCTTTATGTGTGTGCTCTTTCAATTTGTCATCTTGTGATTCACAGCATTTTGGTTTAAGCATCCATGAAATCTGATTATCAAGAAAGTGGCTTAAGCTAGCACATTTCACTTTTCAGCTGGTGAAAGCTAAAACCAAGCATAAAACCAGTCATTGTGGCTCAGCTGGCAAGGGAGGAGTGCATGGGGCTTCTCAGGTCAATATGCTTTGGGTCCCCACCTCCTGAAGATGCAGCCCTGGGTGGATGAATGGGCTGCATTTGGGGGTTTATGATCCAGCCTTCATTGTTGCTGCATTCCTGTAGCCCCTGGGGCTCGAGGATTTCAGTCCCCATCAGCTTGTGGTGGAGAGCATCATCCAGACCATCTTTATCATCAACTCTGCTCACCTGTAATACTTGCTGCTACAAAGCACATAGTCCATATGAAAATGCCATAAAGGCATACCAGAGTGGAAATTTTGTACCCCAGCACAGCATCTGTTTGTATTGTTTTTCTGGTAGCTTGGAGCTCCCGGAATGCCCAGCAGTTCCTTCAATAATCCTTGTTTTGAGAAGATGCAATACATTTGTGTTGGTTTCATTTCCTTTTAATTTCCTTTATCATCTTAATCAGGATTGTGTTTTGTAACAGAAGAAATCTAGATACCTTTCCTGCCATCTCAGCTCAGCTTAATTTTTACTCTAAAAAAGCTGTTAGAAAAACATGTTGATGTAGAATTCTATAAATGACAAGGGTCTTCATCTTTCATTTGAAATAAGACTCTCATTAAAAAAAAAAAAAAAAAGAAATTCCAAACCACCTCAGACAGGGCAAATTGAATTTCTGTAATAAATTGAACATTAAAAAAAATTAAATACTGCATTGCTGAGTTTTTATGCTTTTTGCTTAAAATTGAATATTATATGCATATATCCAAAATACGTAATCCCACTGCTGTGTATCATCTGAAAGGATAACAGATATTGTTATTGAGAACCAATTGAACTGATGAGTAGGGTAGCAGTCATCTTAGTGTCCCATTCTTCCTGGTTAATTGGGGGCAAATAACAGTGCAACAAAAATAGAAGAAATAATCATGTGAAGAATTAGATTAATTTTAAGTTGAAATAGTCAAAAGGTACACAGAACTGCAATAATTTTGGATAGAGCTTCCTCAAAAAATACAGCTTCCTCAAATCCTCTGAACTTTCTTTAGGTCTTTTTTGTGTGTGCATTTAAATTTGTAATGTTGTTCAATGGGATTGCAATAGTGTAGTGGAGACAAGTGTTTAATTTACACAATCAGCTATCTTCTGATAGCAAAGTGGGTTTTATAATGATTCCCTAGAAATTTTGTCCTGCCAGCTATTTTCTGTGTGTGTTTTTCTTCAGTCACAATATAAATAGCCCCTAGCATTCCTTCCCAGGCATCCTGGTGGAGGGAATTGCAGTTGCTTTGAATTGCAAAGGCAGTATTTTTACTTTGTTCTAGTTAAATCTCATCACCATTCACACAGCTGCTCTTCTGTACACAAAGGTGATGTTAACTTCCATGGAAGTACTGTGAGTCAGTTTGTTTGGTGAATTTAGGGCCAGCCTCCTGCAAACCTGCTCCTGTTCCTGCTGGTCTCAGAGCAGGAGTGTCAGTAATTTCAGCAGGAAGGGAAAGCTGGGTGATGTTTGTTGGTCTGTGTGGATGTTAAAGTTAGAGTTTGTTAGAGTTTGAGTTTGGGCACTCACTGTGAGCTCGAAGAGGCTTGCTGAATTTGGGGTGAATGCGTGGATTAGGCGTCAAGTTGGCAAAGGAGGAAGGCAACAATCAGGTTCACTCTGCCAGCATTTTAGCTCCCTTCATTTCCCAAGCAGCCTTTCCTTGCCTTTGTTTCTTTTGCCTTCAGCTTCATTAAATGTCAAATATTTCGAGATCTCAGTGTTCATGCTGCTGTAGAGTAATGTGGGTGTGCCCAAAGTCTCTGAAAGATCCCTAGCTTTGACAGCTTGAGTTTTTTTATTCCTCTTGACACTTCATCTTGACCTATTCCTTATATCTGTGCACTCTTTTCTTGCACCTCTTCTGCCTCTGATTTAATTGCAAGAAACTCAAACCCCAACACTTTTAAAATACAAACACTTTTAAACTTCTGGCACCATGACATCCCTAGTTAAGTGTTAACAGTTACCAATGTTAACTGTTCAGCACAGAACAGCAGTACTATAACCTTGTTGTAGTAAGTCAGCTGAGATTCCATTTTCTTAATGCAGGAAAAGCCAATTCTTTATTCACACAACTCATTTTGTACAGTTTTTACAGGCCTTGTGTGCAGCTTTAATTGGTTAATAGCTTTCTTGCCAATTACTCTGTGGTTAGTAAGAGATATTTTACTTTTCTACCCAATCTCTCTATTCTTGAATTGTTTACCTATTTTCTTCACTGATTCTCATGGGACAGATTTAATGTTTATGCAGGTGCTAGTTGTTTTTCTCCCTCTAAGAATTGGTTGTTGTGTTAACAAACTACTCATACCAAGATTGTTTTTGCATGGGAACTTGCAAAATACTTACCTACACTTAGAAGTGACAAGCCGGCTATTAATTTAGCAGAGCAGGCCTGATCTTATGAGGCCTTTCTTTTAGAATTTTTCTGCCCGTCTGCAACATAACCTGTCTGCCACAGTCTTGGACTTCTTTGTTAATCAGCTGGAACATTTTAAATTTATCAGATTATGGACATTTTTTAGGCCCAATCTGGTTTTAGTAGTCAATCTCAATGTGATGCCACCATGAATTTAGTACAAATCTCAATTTCAGCTGACTTTGTCTATTCATCTTCCTCCAGCTTTGCACACTAAGGTGTGATTTCTGGTAATAGGAGTGCAGGATATTCACAGAAAAGAAAACCACACTATGGGAAAGAGACTGGAGAGGGAAGAAGGCTTAGGAGTTGAGTATGAGCAGTAGAAGAGCCTTCATCTCCCTTGTGCAGCTGGAATACAGAATTCCAGTCTGCACAGTCAATAGATGTGCAGTGCAGTTGCCTCAATTAAAATGTAGTAAAACAAATATTTTTCTTTTGTGTCATAATAAGGCTTTTTCAGATGCTGATGACTTCAGTTCATACCAGTTTCCCACCCTTGCATATGAACAAAGCCCAGAGGGCCACTTGCATGCTCTATGAGAATAAATTTAGAGTTTAAAAGTTCTACAGCATGTTGTTTAGGTAAACAAAAACATAATTTCAGAAGGAAATGTCTAGAACTGTATAATGTGAAGGAGGTGGATTCACAGAGTCTTGCATCTTCCAGAGTAATTTAGGTAAAGGCTGAGCATTCAGTTTAAAGGTTTCTATAGAGGAATGGGATTAGGAAAATGAAGGAGGAAGCTCTCTCTGTGTTAAATGTGGCATCACAGGAAGAGTTTGACATGGAAAGGGCTTTTTGTTTGTAATTTCACACGTGTTTGTAATGCTATACTGCTGGGTGGGGGTTTTTGCTTCTGTCCTGCCTTAAAGCTAAGTGTGAACTTCTAAAGAGACTGTCTAGTGCACTGTCCCTATTCAAGAATGTGTGTGAGTTTGCTGTTTGCATGTGGATGCATATCCCTTTAAGCTGTTTATGATGTTGTGTCTTTCCTCTTGTGGGGTAGCAAGTTCTGGACCTGGTCTGCTTCTCTACCTGGACCCTGTGTTGGGAAAAAAGTGGGGCTTAAAAAAGCACTGCAGTGGTGTTCTGTGAAATTCTCGAGTTAGACTGTGGGCTTTTGTTTAGGAGATTGAGTGCTTCCTTCTTAGTGTATTTTATTGTGTGTTTGCCTTGTGTCTTCTCAGAAATGAAGTGTATAGTCCCTGGTATGTCTGGACTTAAAGCCTCAGACCTTTTCTGTTGACACATGAATTCTGTTCTAGCTGCAAAGTAGTATTGATAAAGCTTTCTGTATTTATTCACACTTTTTGTTTGTTTGTTTGTTTGTTTGTTTTTAAGGTCTTGGTGCCCCTGGTTCTGTTACAACAATTTCTGATGGAGCTGACAAGACGGGGCCAGGAACCACTGAGTGCCCTTGTGAACTTCGGGGTGACATATCTAGAAGATTATTCTTCAGATTATATTATTCAACAAGGAGGATGGGTAAGAAGACTTCATTTCTAAGTGTGATCCTAGTAGGAGTGAAAGCTTAGAGGGGTTGCTACAAGTAAGCAGATGCAAGGAAGAATGACTCAGAAAAAGAAATTTAAAAAAAAGATCAGGAGGTCAGGACCAGAAAGGGATCTTGGGTAGTCATCTCTTTTTCTTCTCTGCCCCAAGGCAGAATTGACTTTCACCCATTCATTTCTGATGTTGATATTAAAGACCTGAGTGGTTGGACTCCACAATTTCCCCAGGCAGTCTGTTCCAGTTCTTTGCAGGTCTGGTTTGTTGGATTGCTGTTGAAATTGAAGAGGTCCTTAGGTGTCAGATAACAATTCATTTTCATACAGTGTGTGTTAAGGTGCTAATTTGTTGCAGTATGGTGAGCTTTGTGCTTCCCTGTTAATACACATGGAGCACTGCATTTGGAAGCAGACTCCTGTAGCAAGAGGTTATATGCATGAGAGGCTCCTCTTTTGAATAGTATCTTCATCCTCTGATGACTGCTGGAAAAGGTATATGGGTTTTTTCCTCCTCTTAAATTTCAGAGCGTTTCTTAGCAGATGAGTAATTGGGGAGCACTTGGTACAGAAATGTCAATAGGTATTAATTTATTTTTATAATAAGTGATAAGATAGCTAATGTGTATTGGAGTTTATAGCTGTATAGGAACATGCATTGAATAAGCAATCAGGATTTCTTTGTGCTGCGTTTTTCCTTGTAGAAATCTTTAATTCATGGTAACCAGTGTTCCTGAGTCATGGCATGCTGAGAAAACTTCATTTAGAAATACTTCAGAAAGGCAGCTCACAGCTGATGAGTTGGGTCTTGGAGGCTGAGCCTAAGATTACTGGGTTTGGGAAGAATGCCAGATTTGAATGGAATTAATCTGGGATTTGTGAAATAGCTCCAGCAATCTGATTTATTCTAAAAAGAAGGGCTGTTCAGGAAAACCCAGTGATAAAAAATTACCAGTAGGAAAAATCTCCTTTAGAAGCTTCTCGTAATCCAAGGGTTTACCTGAGGGGTTTTTTTGAAGAGTAGCTTGTTCCAGAATTTCTGCACATCTGCACCTTCTTTCCCTGTTCCCTTCCTGGCAGTTGTGGAGAGCAGTTCTCAAAGCCTGTGGGAGGGATTGTTTGTCTTTAATGGACAGAAGCATTAACAGCATGCAGCCAAGTGACCTTAGGTCATTTGATAAATGCACTCATATCTCAAAAGTATTTTCATCCCAGGGCAGCCCTTACTTGCAGCTTTTAGACAGATGGATATTAGTACTTTGCTTTTCTGCCTTGTTTTTTGACCTCCAGAAGAGCTGTGCTGTGTTCTCCAGCCCCTTTTTGAGACCTGTGATGTAAACACACTTCATAGAGTGCTTACTTTTCTGAAAACAAGCAGCTTTCCAGCACGGCCTGCGAGGGAGGGAGCTGTGCTCTGTGTCTGGCTGGCTGTGCAGGGATGCACAGATCAGGGTGGTGCTGTCCAGCGGGCTCCCAGCGTGTCTGTGCACATCCAGCCAGGCAGAAAATCAGCCTGACACGGGCAGTGCAGCAAACAAGCCTGAGCTATTTTTGAAACGGCACAAGAGGCGAGGAAAGAGACTAGGTGATGAAAATCCTTTCCAGATGAATTAATGTAGCTGCACTAATCTCTGTGAGTTGCTCTGGGGATGGGCTTGGGGACCCATTGGGCTTTTTGTGGAGGAAGGGGAATATATGGTTATATTGTATTATTTCCTCCCTGTAAGGAAAAGGTTAATTTTCACCCTGTGGCATGTTTCTGAGTTTGTTCAGGGTTTATGGGATGGCAGTGCTGGGAGCAGGGCACAGGGCCAAGATGGGAGGATGACCAGGAAGAGCCTGGCAGGCTGGTAGCCGCAGGAAGTGTTGGAGTGTTTGCATTTTTTAAGATATGCATCTGCCACAGGGGCTCTGTGTGCTGGATCAAGTTGTCAGTAATTTGCTTGAGCCACAAGGGTAATATGTATACTTGGGTGTCACCAGTGACTCATGTTGCTGTGACAGTAAGGGGTTCAATTCTTGTGTCATTTTGGACCTGTATGAAGTTAGGTCTTTCCTGCAGCAGCTAAGAACTTGCTTAAAAGTGAGATGCAAGAATAGCCTGGCTGGTTTTCTGTGGATCTGGAGCAGAGGAGAGCTTCACAGGAGTCAGCTTTTCAGGGGCAGACCTGAAAAGCTCTGTGGTCTCTGGTGCTGTCTCATCCCTTGGCACCATTTGGGATCTTCCTCACCTTTTGGATTGAAGTGTTCTTTGTCAGGAGGGGAGTAGCCAGTCAAAGGTGAGGGGTCAGCTGAGACCTTCCTGTGCCTCACTGGGAACTGTGGAGTCAGAATTCCACAGAGCTGTGTCATCCATTTGCTGCATCATTCTCTGCAGCCACAATGCAGCTGGAAGAGCTCCCAGGGTTCTGCATGTGTGCAAGACTTGAGGTTTTCCTGTGAGCTCAAGAGGCTTCTGGGTCCAGGAAAGCGTCTGACTGAGGATGGTAGACAGCTAACCAGAAGCAAAAAATTCCAGCTCAAGTGAATAAAGGTTTACAAATTGGGTAGTTATGCAGCAGATTTCAAGAAATTGGCATGGCTTATGGGAAATGAGAAATTTGATATATTGGAGGATGAGAAGTTGCTTTTTTATTTTCCATGCCAGTCCCACAGAGATATGGTGCTGAGACAGTGTGTTGAAACAATGAGAGTGTTCCCCTCCCATTCTCCCTTCAGGCACTAAAATTGTAATTCAGCTAACTTTTGATGACAGTGTGGTACTGGAATGTACTGGTGGCTTGGTTGGGTTGGTGAGGGAATGGGTGGCATAGTTTTATGTTCTCTCTTTCACTATTTGCTCTGATAGGTTTGGCTGCAACTCTTGCATTTATCTGTTCGACTCCTAAGTTTTAGTATGACCTCTCTTCTGGAGAAAGCATGCTGGGCATTCCATGCTCTCTAAACAGACACACATATCTTTGTCCTGGCTAGTGGGTCTGCTGGTCCTACTCAGACCTTCTTCCTTTATCATCTTGAGCCATTATCATCTTCTAAATCTAGCTGGATTTACAAGTAGCTTTGTTCTTTTCTTTCCCAAAAGCAAAGTTAGGGCTCAATCTACACGCAGTGTGTACGCATTCTCCCCACCCCTTTCCTCTTCTCCCCTCCCCTTTCCTCATCTCCCCTCCCTTCTCTCCTCCTACCTCCCCTGCCTTTTTGCTCTCTCTGACTTCTCCAGGGCTGAATGCTGCCGCATCAGAAGCAGTTCTTGGTCTCCTGGAAAAGTGCACAGTAAGACCAGTCCGTTGGTAAGGATTTTTTCCCCTCTTCCTTTCCCATCCCTTCTCAAATAATTTATTTCTTCTCAAGTTCTGCAGATCCTATTTTTCATGCTTAGATTTCATCTTTGTAGAAATATCTGGGAATGTCTATAAGGAGAAAGGAATGTAAGTTTTCTTGGAATCTAGCTACCCTTTTTTTTCCTCTCCAGTTCCCATTCCTGTTACCAGCCCCTCTGCTTTCCTCTTGTTTGAACCAATTTATCAGAGTGTAGTTAATAAAACCTGGGAGTTATATTGTGACCTGTGGCAGAAATTGTCTCTACCTTCCCAAGGGTCTTGTCTCATGGAGTTCAGACCTGGATTTTCATTTAACTAGTTAAGTGCCCATGCTGAAGGGGTAAAAAGCAAATTTGCTTGAAATTTCCGTAGTGTTTACAATTTCCTATCTCAGCCTTAGAGGAGCTGTTTTCTCTGTGTCCTCCAGTGTTTTGTCGTGGGCTTTGCAGCTGGTGTGGTTGTTTTCTTTGCTGCTGGTGATTAAATAATACCCATATTAGAGAGTGTTAAAAATCTGGAGGGGCAAGAGAGGAAAGAGTCAATTGTCATCTAGGGAAGCAGGGTGGTCAGTTTGTGCTTCCCAAGATGAAAATCTGCAGCAGTCCAGGTGTCTGCCCTGGGAATGACAATGCAGAAATAGAGTTGTGCTCTGCTGGAGGAGAGAGAAGTAAGTTTAATGTGGCAGAGATGCAAGAAAAGGCAGTCTAGTTAGAGGAGTCCTAGAAAGGAGTTTTCCTTTCAAAATAATTGTGCTTTATGCTTGTGTCATGGAATACTGCAGTGAATTGTCCACTTTATTTATATGTAATTTCTTTGGTCCAGTAATAGATTTTTTAAATTTTTAGGAACTGTGGCTGAAGAAGGACATTAAATAGTAAAGGAGCAACTAGATCTCCTTTCTCTTTTCCCTTCCAACAACTTCAAATCTGAAGAAGTGGTCTATAGATAACTGAATTTACCTCATTTTAAACCCATAAGACTAAAACCTAAAGGGTGTTGCTTTGGTGCTGACTTTCTGCAGGTTGTAGAGGTTATATTGGAAGGCAGGGATGGAAGAGGATAATTTCTGCAGGCTGTTCTAGCCAAAGCATTCCTGGAAGGGAATGAGAGCAGTGGCTCAATACCCGAGTGCTTTGATGTGGTTCACTCGACCTTCTTTTCCTTTTCCTTTTCCTTAATAAAAAGTGCAATCCTATTTGTAAGAAGTCTGCTCTCTTTTTCTTGGCTCTACTTATCGTGACAGTTTCAGAAAGATGAACAGAGAGGCACAATAAGTGCCTGAGGGCTTTTTTGGGACTTCTTTATATTTTAAAATGTTTCATTCTGGATCTGAGTGTTGTCAGAAGCTCCTTTATAGTCCGTTTTTCTGAAGGATTAGCTGGGTGATACTGTCAGATCTGACTTCCACAAGGGTCTGGAAAGGTTTGGCATAACAGGGCTGGGCACCAAGATGGAGCAGATGGAGCCGCAGCCTGGGCACACCCAGGTGGGAGTGGAGCCATTCCTGGGCACAGGCAGCCTGCTCCAGCACACAGCTACTCCTCTGCCACGGCTACAGAGCATGCAACAAGCACATTCCCAGCTCCAAGGAAGTTTGTTGTTGTGGGAAGTTTGCTTATCTCCCTGTGGGAGATGTCTTAGGATCCCTGGACATAGCCCA